AAAGCAACTAACAGGAGCTATAAAGCAAGGACTGTTTTTTTACTTATGCCCCCATCCTTTTTTACACGTTCAGGACCGAAGTCTGCCCTATGCAAAGAGAGATTGTTTCTAATGACCTACCATTTTACCTTGTCCAATCTTGTTGAAATTTCCAGATTTCTTTGGCTGTGATAAGTTTGGTACTAGGCCTGGCTGTGAGGAGAGAGGAGGGGGAAGAGGCAATGTTTTTAAGATGTGAGAAATAACCGGAAGTTATAATGGAGTTTAAAACTGAGGAGTCAGCTTGGAGTATTTCCTGGTTTCACATGCCCATTTAGAAGTAGTGATTATGAATAGTGTCTGCATGTGGTGATTGTTGTTATTACTGCTGCTGCTATTTAGGTTTTTGGAATCTACTAGTCGCTAAGAAGTCAAAATGCATTCTTTCAAACACTACAGCTATTCATGATTTTTGAGACTAGAGTACTGAGACACTGTATGTGGACCTATACTTGATAATGAATCAGAAACATCAGCTGGTACAAAATCTGAATCCTGCTAAGTCATATTTTCTTGTGCAGGGACCGGGACTTCCCTGCTGTGATAGAAGCCGGACGCGAGGGGATCGCCTTCAGACCTCAGGTTGGGGAGGACCGGGTTAGAGAGCTTCTGGAGGGGCTGGACGCGTTCAAGTCAGCGGGTCCGGATGCTCTCCACCCCAGGGTGCTTAGGGAGCTAGCTAGGGTTATTGCAGGGCCCCTGGCACGGCTCTACGAGCGATCGTGGTGCTTGGGCCAGGTGCCAGACGATTGGAAGGTAGCTAATGTGGTCCCCATCTTCAAGAAAGGGAAAAGGGAGGACCCGGGCAATTATAGGCCCGTCAGTCTTACCTCAATCCTGGGGAAACTCTTTGAGAAGATCATCAAGGAGCACATTTGTGATGGGCCGGCATCAGAAATGATGCTCAGGGGCAATCAGCATGGATTTATTAGGGGGAGATCATGTCAGACCAACCTGATTGCCTTTTATGATCAGGTCACAAAGGCCATGGACGCAGGTGTCGCGGTGGATGTAGTCTTTCTGGACTTCAGCAAGGCCTTTGACACCGTCTCTCACCCCATCCTAATTAATAAACTAGGCGACTGTGGCATAGATGCCTACACAGTCAGATGGATTGCAGATTGGCTGAAGGGTTGCACTCAGAGGGTGGTGGTGGATGGATCATACTCGACTTGGGGGGAGGTGGGTAGTGGAGTCCCCCAGGGCTCGGTCCTGGGGCCTGCGCTGTTCAATTTCTTCATCAGCGATCTTGATGTTGGGGTGGAAAGCAACCTGTTTAAATTCGCTGATGACACCAAAATTTGGGGGGAGGTGAGCACGCTAGCAGGGAGAGAGAGATTGCAGAAGGATCTGGATAGGTTACAGGGGTGGGCAAACAGGAACAGGATGTGTTTCAATACGGACAAGTGCAGGGTGCTGCACTTGGGTAGTAGGAACCAGCAGCACACTTATACGATGGGGAGCTCCCTACTTGAGAGCACGGAGGCGGAAAGGGATCTTGGTGTCATTATTGACTCCAAGATGAACATGGGCCGACAATGCGAGGTCATGGTTGGCAGGGCTAACCGGACCTTGTCGTGCATCCACAGGTGCATCTCGAGTAGAGCCAGGGAGGTGATCCTCCCCCTCTATGCGACGCTGGTCAGGCCGCAGCTGGAGTATTGTGTCCAGTTCTGTGCGCCCCATTTCAGGAGGGATGTGGACAACATGGAGAGGGTCCAGAGGAGGGCCACCCGCATGATCCGGGGACAACAGGGCAGACCCTACAGTGAGAGACTGCGGGACTTGAACCTATTCAGCCTCCACAAGAGAAGGCTGAGGGGGGACCTGGTGACCGTCTATAAACTCACTAGGGGGAACCAGAAGGGTTTGGGGGAGACGCTGTTTCCCCTAGCCCCCGCTGGCATAACAAGGAGTAATGGGCACAAGTTGATGGAGAGGAGGTACAGATTGGACATCCGAAAAAACTACTTCACAGTTAGGGCGGCTAGGAGCTGGAACCAACTTCCAAGGGAGGTGGTGCTGGCCCCTACCCTGGGGGTCTTTAAGAAGAGGCTGGATGCCTACCTGGCTGGACTCATTTGAGTCCCGTTTTTGTTTTTAGGGTTTTTTGTTGTTCTCCCGCCCTGGCGGGGGGTCGGGCTGGAAGATCTATTAGGTCCCTTCCGACCCTAAAACTATGAAACTATGAAACTATATTTCTTACAGGAAGCATATTATATCTGTGCTCCAGTCAGCATTTGCTTTCAACTTTGTAGGTGTTATTTAAGTTATTGTTGCATGAAAAGCTCGAATGCTATGGTTCCTGGCAACTTCAAAGACCATTTCTTTCCCTGTACAGTGTGGTAGTAATTATGATTAATGGAAGCGCTTGAGTTTACAACTCTTTAGTATAAGTAGGAAGTTGACTGACAGCAGGGCTTTTTCTATTTAAGTCCTCACCTCAACAGTGTAGCCATCACTATCATCTTTCTGACTGAACTTAGATCTGTTAACTGCTAAGACTAAATGTGAGGTATGTCCTTTTCTGTGGGGTAGATTTACTTGTGACATTCAGAGTTTGTTTTGATCAAGGCTGATCTGATTGGAGTGTGATATATATTTTGTTTTATAAATAAATGTAAGTCACCAACAGGATCAGATAAAAGCCTTTAATAAATACATTGTAGGAAATGAAAACTGCATTCACCAGAATAGGTGCCATTGGGATGCATTTCATCTCGGGGAATGTAAAGTCGGAGTACCGTACTTTATTTGAATGTAATTGAACAGTAAGGGTTTGGTTCACTGAAGTGCTTTAACACAATTCTGGCCTGAACTGATCTTAAATTGATCATTTTCACAGTCTTGCTACATTTACCTGACAGAAATTCAAATCTCCATCTATGTGGTCTGTGAATATACTCCAAACTCTCTTGAACAATAGTTTTCAAACTATTCCAGGGTATTTTTTTTTTCCTTTTAAGAACTCTAAGTGGGTCTCATATCTAAATTTCAGGTTACTGAAATTTACTCGTCTATTAAAAGGGGGAATGTCTGTCCTTAGAAAGATATGTAGAGAAGCAACTAAGCATTTGGTATTATGCCTATATTTCTGTTCCTCTGCTTTTACCAAAGACTTAGGTAATGCAGGTTTTGAACATTTGATGCCCTCCCTGCTAGAAATAGTGTCACAAACATTATATTATGCCATCCCCTGGAAACCAGCTGGGAAGAAGGAAGGGTTGTTACAAACACACCTATAACTTTTGGATCATAATAGCTAAGCAGGTGTTGGGCCTGTTACCAATTAATTAATCTGGTCAGCAGCTGATCGCCTATTTTAAGGTCACCACGTACTGTTGACTCTTGGTGTGCTCTTTCTCAGGAAGGTTTATTAAAGAGATTTACAAGGTAAGTTGGAACTGAGGAGAGTTGTCATTTACAAGAGTCCAAGGGCAGCTGGACTAATAAGCTTACCGAATCCACATCTGAATGTCATAAGCCTTTAGATGTGACAACTTGCATTCCTTGAACAACTTACTCTGTGGATATGTTTTATGAATCAGACATTCTTAATCTGATGTGAAATTCCTTCTTCAGACTTTACTTTAGTTGGGTTTTTTTTAGAAAAAAAGAAAAAATCCAGGGGTTTTTTCTTATAGATCCATGGAAAAAATATGTGGACCTGCTATATTACAAAACTGTGTAAATATCCAACAACACCTTGGGCTATCCTACTTTTCCGATCTGCAAATGAGTCGAGGTATTGTATCTGGTTATATCTTTTAGGGTTTTTTTAAAAACAGAAAAGCACTATAAGAATATATACTCATTCTTTTGTTATTGGTTGCCTTTTTATTTGCCTATTTGTTTTTTTACTATAAGCAATGACTATAGGATCTGGTTTGATTATTCTTCCACAACTTTTAAAGGATTAGTTTAGTATTTTGATTTTAACTTTAAAGCCCTCAAAATATTATTTATTAAAATGAATGAGCTAAAACATTTCTCACCAGTTATGTGAGATGTTAATTCTGTTAATTGAAATATGTTACTTTTTGGAGAATGTTACTCTTCGAACCACTTTCATTTTATAAGTCTCTGGTGGATAGCTTATCATAGAGACAAGAAGCAGTTGAAAGCTGACTATAATAGTTTATTCATTACACTTTCTTATGTATCTGTGTCTCTGTGGAGGCATGTTTAAACTTCCAGCAAAGAGTTACCAGACTAAATTCTCACAGTTTAGTAGGGGAGAAGCTGTGTCTTCCTTGTTTTTATTACAGCACCTAATACAATGGAGAGCAATCCTCATTTGGGCGTCTGAGCACTGCACGATAATATGTAGTCCTGGAATAAGAACTATCAGTTGCTAGCTGTCATGAAATTCCTACAGTAGCTCTTCCACTACTGTTTCTACTAGAAGTGGCATTACAAAAGGGAGGTTTTTGGCTTTTGTGGAATTTTCTCTTCCAGGCCTATGATATCCAGAACTGTACTCCTGCCAAGATAAGGAGCAGAAATTATGGCATAAGAGTAACAATAATGTAAGATTCAAGTTATGGTAGGTGACTTATTTAAACAATAAATGGCATTTTCTGTAATATCAGCTCCCCATTTCAGAATTTCTGTTGTAAATGCTTTATAGTAAGACAAGTAAGGTAACATCATATTTATATCGTGGAAAGCGAGTCTCCTTTAAGGGATAGCTATGTTTGTATGAAGAATAACTTCAGTAACTCTAGAGTACGACTTTCTGAATCTCAGTAATTTGGTTTGAAAGAGGCCAATGGGCAATAAGCATACTGTAAAATTCTTTGAAGACTAAGTAATTTTTTATAATTGTGGAATCCTGGTTTGGTGTATGATGCTTTTAACACCTGTTTCCCTCTCTTCTGGCTTGGTTTTCACTGGGTATAAGAATAGTTAAACCTACTGGTTAACTCCTGAAAATCCTCCTACTTCTGGATAAACAAAAGTACAAAGAAGAGAAGAAAACAAATCCTTAGCCCCCTCAGGCTTTACAACCTTATCTCCAGGGTCTTTGTGACCTGAAACTTTTTCCTGCCAGGTGCCTGTTAGCATTCTTTCATTCTTGTATTGCAGGGCTCCAAAGTCACCTCAAGCTGATACTATGAAGATACAGGGGAATCCTTGCCCCACCTGTATCATGTTCTCCAACCCTAATCCTTTAAGTTTTTGATGTAAGAATATTCACTGCACCCCCTGTCCACTTTTTTTCAATTAAAAGTTTGATGATAAGTGTTCATGTTGGTTTCTAAAAAATTTTGAGAATTAACAATGGTCTGTTCAAAAAAGTTGAGTAACCATTGTTTTTAAACCAGTGTTTCACAACATTTTTCAGGTCAGTGATCTGTTATTTGAGGTGAAAAACTTTTGTGATTGTCCATATGTTTCATTTTTTTACAGTAAATATAACAACTAGTCTACGTGATTTATTTGAGTATTTGTTTTGTAGTTTGAAGGGGAGGGGTGTGCAGGGAGTAGAGGAACAAGTTCTTTTCTGCTTTGTATTGTAATAAGATTTTTCACTGCTGTCAGACTCTTGGCTTCCAGGAACCCCTTGTAGGTGATGACCAACTGATTGAGAAGCACTACTCCAAATGTATATCTAGTCTGTGTTGAGATACTTCACCTTATTCTTCCTCTTCCCTCAGGCCTACTTCCTATTTTATACTTGCTTGCTTCCTATGTCACTGTCCCAGACTCTCCCCTGGCTTTTTCAGCACAGACCCCCAGGATTAGTCCTTTGGTTCCCTTTTTAACTTGGATACTCTCACATAAATTGCTGAGACTCTGCTCACTAGAAAACCTTTTCTTCTCTATGGGTATCTCTTTTTCAGAGAGACCCACAAGTGGTTTCACTTGTTTCCAAGGCATTGTCAAAACTACTTCTGCACTCTTTGCTTTAAGATTTCATAGATTTCATAGACATCAGAGCTGGAAGGGACCTCGGAAGATCATTGAGTCCAGCCCCCCGCCCAAAGGGCAGGAAGTCAGCTGGGGTCATAGGATCCCATCAAGATAAGCATCCAGTTTCATCTTGAAGGTGTTCAATGAAGGCGCTTGAACCACCTCCGGTGGCAGGCTGTTCCAGACCTTGGGGGCTCGGACAGTAAAGAAGTTCTTCCTTATGTACAGCTTGAAACGATCTTGAAGTAGTTTGTGACCATTCGACCTCGTCATCCCTTGGGGCGCTCTGGTGAACAAACGTTCCCCCAGATGCTGGTGGTCACCCCTGATAAACTTGTAGGTGGCCATCAGATCACCCCTGAGCCTGCGCTTTTTCAGGCTAAAGAGCCCCAGGGCTCTCAGCCTGTCATCGTAGGGTCTGCTTCCCTGACCTCTGATCATGCGCATGGCTCTTCTCTGGACTCTCTCAAGCTTCTCCACATCCTTTTTGAATTGTGGAGCCCAAAACTGGACACAGTACTCCAGCTGCGGCCTCACTAAGGCCGAGTACAGGGGGAGAATGAAGTCCCGGGATTTGCTTGAGAAGCATCTATGGATGAAAGCC